AGCTGGTCAGGCCAGCAGGACTCTTTTGCCTGATGTAATTCTAGTGAAGGAAGGAAAGAACGAAGGAGGGAACGAAGGAAGGAACGAAGGTACGAAGGGGAAATTCTCATGGTTAAGGGTTTGACCTTAAGTTTCAGAGGTTGCATCCAAAGTATGAAAATGTTGCTTTTTGGACCACAGTTCCAGCTGGAAGATTCCAGGAATAGTCATCTTAAAATGTAATTTTGTCCAACTCTGCTTGTTCTCCTTTTCAAGGGTTTCCAGGAGAAAAAGGAAAAGCCAAAGTTGTGCTGAAATGCGTCTAGTTTAGTTCATTTCCTCCAACATTTCAGAGGTGAACCTAGGACACATGAGCCAAGCAATACCAGAGTGTGGTCAAGACATTCTCTGAGTGCATCTACACTGTAGCACAATGGTTCTCAACCTGGGGGTCGGGACCCCTGTGGGGGTCGCGAGGGGGTGTCAGAGGGGTCACCAAAGACCATCAGAAAACATAGTATGTTCTCTTTGTCATGGGTGTTCTGCGTGGGAAGTTTGGTCCAATTCTATCATTGGTGGGGTTCAGAATGCTATTTCAATGTGGGTGAACTATGAATCCCAGCAACTACAAGTTCCAAATGGCAAGGTCTATTTTCTCCAAACTCTACCAGTGTTCACATTTGGGCATATTGATTATCTGCGCCAAGTTTGATCCAGATCCATCACTGTTTGAGTCCACAGTGTTCTATGGATGTAGGTGAACTACAACTCCAAAAACTCAAGTTCAGTGTCCACCAGAYTCTCCCAGTATTTCTCTTGGCCATGGGAATTCTGTGTGCCAAGTTTGATTCMATTCCATCATTGGTGGAGTTCRAAAGGCTCTTTGATTTTRGGTGAACTATAAATCCCAGMAAYTCCAACATTCCCAAATGACAAAATCAATCCCCYCCCCCCCCAAACCCCACCAGTRTTCAAATTTGKGCRTATCRGGTATYTGTGCCAAATTTGGTCCAGYGAATGAAAATGCATCYTGCATATCAGATRTTTAYATTAMKATTCATAACAGTAGCAAAATTAAAGAAGTAGCAACGAAAATAACGTTATGGTTGGGGGTCACCACAAGGTGAGAACCTGTACTAAGGGGTCACGGCATTAGGAAGGTTGAGAACCACTGCTGTAGCATTAACGCAGTTTGATACTATTTGAACTACCATGGCTCAACACTATGGAATCATGAGAGTTGTAGTTTGGTGAGACACCAGCACTCTTTGGCAGAGAAGGCTCAAGTCCTTGTGAAACTACAGGTTCTGGCATTCCATGGCACTGAGTCATGGTAGTTGAAGTGGTGTCAAACTACATTAAACTCCCAGGATTCCACGGTCTAGATCAGTGGTTCTCATCCTGTGGGTCCCCAGGTGTTTTGGTCTACAAATCCCAGAAATTCCAGTCAGTTTACGAGCCTGTTAGGATTTCTGGGAGTTGGAGGCCAAAACATCTGGGGACCCACAGGTTGAGAACTACTGGTCTAGATGCACCCTTTGAAAGGATTGTATTGGCTTTCTTTTGCTTCCATGGTTGTGTCAGCTTCTACATTCACACCCACATGTATCCCAGGCTAGAGTTAGTGCAGTTTGATTCCACCCTAATTGCTACGATTCACTGCTATGGAATCCTGGGAGTTTTAGGTTGTCAAGGAACTCTTTGTCAGAGAAGGCTCAAGACCTCTCAAAATAACAACTCCCCTGATTCCATAGCACTGAGACACGGCAATTAAAGTGGTGCTGAATTGCATTACCTCTATAATGTAGATGCACCCTCCAAAAGAATCGTATATGGGGAAGTGGCTTTTTTATTGCTTCCGTGGCTGTATTAACTCCTACACTGATTAATGTGTATTTTATAGAAATGTTTTGTTGCGTATCTTTTATGGAACTGCATTTTAATATGTATGTTTGCAAAACAATTATAGGAATTGTGTGTTTTTGATTATGCTGTGATCTGCCTCAAGCCGTGAGGAGAGGCGGGCAAGAAATAAAATTGTTGTTGTTATTGTTGTTGTTTGAAGCACAAGATGAATACACAACAAACAAGATCACTATGCTGACTGTTGTATTGTTTCTTATCTTCGGACACATCCCAAGTGTCTAGGACTGTGCGATTTATTGACAAATAATGCATAAAGATCCGAGTAGGGTGGCCTTTTGCAGATGACAGATGGTAATGTTGTTGTTGTTGTTGTTATTTCTATTATTATTATTATTTTACTGACACAAAAACACAGTGTGTCAAAGCAAATGAAATCTATATGCTGGATTTCGTATCACAAAATCACAAGTCGAACACTTCCCAAGCATCTAGGACTGTGTGATGTATTATTATTATTATTATTATTATTATTATTATTATTTATTATTATTATTATTATTATTATTATTATTACTAGCCGTCCCCTGCCACGCGTTGCTGTGGCCCACATGGAGGTTCTGTGTGGGAGGTTTGGCCCAATTCTATTGTTGGTGGGGTTCAGAATGCTCTGTGATTGTAGGTGAACTATAAATCCCAGCAACTACAACTCCCAAATGTCAAGACTATTTTCCCTAAACTCCACCAGTGTTGACATTTGGGCATATTGAGTATTTGTGTAGAGTTTGGTCCAGATCCATCATTGTTTGAGTCCACAGTGATCTCTGGATGTAGGTGAAATACAACTCCAAAACTCAAGGTCAATGTCCACCAAACCCTTCCAGTATTTTTTGTTGGTCATGGGAGTTCTGTGTGCCAAGTTTTGGTTCAATTCGCCTCCAGAAAAAAAAAACCCCAAAAACAATTTTGTTTCGGGGTGGGGGGGGGGGGGGGGGGGGGCTGAGTTTAAGTGAAAGAGGGTCTACCCTAGCAAACCTTTTGTATTGTTACCCCAATACCCCCATACATATGGGATATATTGAGCATGGTGATCAGATCATGATATGAATAAACATAACAGTTTAAATATGCACCTGTTGGTCATGGGAGAACTGTGTGCCAAGTCTGGTTCAGTTCCATCGTTGGTGGGGTTCAGAATGCTCTTTGATTGTAGGTGAACTATAAATCCCAGCAACTACAACTCCCAAATAACAAAATCAATTTTTTTGAGTGAAGGACATACATTGGGTTGTTAGGTGTCTTGTGTCCACATTTGGTGTCAATTCGTTCAGTGGTTTTTGAGTTCTGTTAATCCCACAAATGAACATTGCATTTTTATTTATATAGGTGATGATGATGATGATGATGATGATGATGATGATGATGATGATGACGACTACTACTACTACTACACTTACACCAAGACATTACCCAGATACCCGCATAGGCCAAGATGCTACATGGCTGCAACATTGCATAAACAACCACAGGTGGAGTGACAATCCACTTGTGTTACACAATTCCTACAATGGAATTGCGTAACACAATGCCATCACCTTGTAGAGGTGGATTTAACTGATGAGGAAAAACACACAAACTGGGAAAAGTCTCAGTCTTATCCATCATGGGAAAGAGAAGGAAACAAACACTGTCTTTCCTGGAAAGGGCTCTTCTTCCAAGGACCACATCAAACCTTCTTTCCCAGATGAGCTCTATGAGCAACAGAACCACTGTGCTCCGGTATCAAAAGTACTAGAGATCCGTTTTAGGAAGGCTGGTGGCTTCCGTCCAGGTCTGGGTCTTTCCAAAACCCCATTGGGTCTTAACAATAACAAATCCACCAGCCATAATGAACAAGGACTATCTCTGCGTTCCTTTCTTCTTGCAAACAAGTCAACATGGCAACACTTGATTACTCAGAAAGCAGCTGGACCCTGTGTGGGTAGGGAGCAGCCCAACCATTGCCGCCTCTATTAAGCGCTGTAATTTGCTCTTGTGTTGTACTTTCTACACCATGTTGTTTTAAATGGAATTAATCGCGGCCTTGTTCAAAGGGAAAGCTTTGCAGGCATTCGCTCTGGCTCTGAAACACACACACACACACATGCTTTTCATGCCCTCCCCCATCTTGCAGTGACTGTTCCTTTTTTCCCTCTTTTCCAGGAGAATGCTTGTCCTGAATTTGAGATGGACGGGAAGAGTGGAAAACAACAAAACCACAACAAAGAAGCATCCAGAGGAGCGGCATCCTTAGGGTTGGTGTCACCTGGTGCCATAACTCATGGTGTGACTCCCTTCGATAATATCCTCCTGTATGAAACCATACCCCAATATCATAATTACAATACTAGAAAATTGGACAAAATCTTTGATGGTTTAAAAAAAAAACAACAGCAACGAAAGCGACAGTGCATTCTTGTAACAAATGCCTTGGTTAGACCACACCTGGAATATTGTGTCCAATTATGGGCACCAGAATTAAAGAGAAATATTGCCAAGCTGGAATATGTCCAGGGGAGGGTGACTAAAATGATAAAGATTCTGGAGAACAAGCCCTATGAGGAGAAGCTTAAAGAGCTGGGCATGTTTAGCCTGAAGAAGAGAAGGCTGAGAGGAGATATGATAGCCATGTATAAATATGTGAGAGGAAGCCACAGGGAGGAGGGAGCAAGCTTGTTTTCTGCTTCCTTGGAGACTAGGACGCAGAACAATGGCTTCAAACTACAAGAGAGGAGATTCCATCTGAACACGAGGAAGAACTTCCTGACTGTGAGAGCCGTTCAGCAGTGGAACTCTCTGCCCCGGAGTGTGGTGGAGGCTCCTTCTTTGGAAGCTTTTAAACAGACTGGATGGCCATCTGTCAGGGGTGATTTGAATGCAACATTCCTGCTTCTTGGCAGGGGGTTGGACTGGATGGCCCATGAGGTCTCTTCCAACTCTTGATTCTATGATTCTATGATAATATGTTCCCTAAGTGTAACCAGAGATATTTATTTATTTATTTATTTATTTGTTTACAACATTAATATGCTACCCTTCTCGCCCTAAAGGGGACTCAGAGCGACTTACAAGATATATATATATGCAATATATTAAATTAATAATTATTAGATACTCACTTCTGATCCACTGGAAGAGCGGAAGCAATGCGCAGGAACACTCCGACTTCATTAGGAAGGGTGTCTCTGCATTTTATTACAGCCTGAAAGATGAAATGAAAGAGAACCCTTTTCAACCACCTTTATTCTCCCTGGAGCTGAAACTTTATCAGGAGGAGGGGATCGCTGTAATGGGGTGTTGGCATCCCCTTCATCTCAGCAAGCTGCACCGCTGCTTTTTTGGAAAGACCTCACAAAAGCGGGGACATCAAGCTGTGGATGTGTCTTCCCCAGCAACCCGCAGCATCTGGCCTGTTGGCAAACCCTACCAGGAGCTGGAGCTGGAGCTAGAGCTGGTGGCAGCAATTTTTTGGAGTCACACTTGGGTTTGCCGTGTCATTTGACGGCTGTTCGGCTGTCTGCAGCCTGCCTGCCTTGGCTAAAAAGAATTAATACAAAAAGGAAGGGATACTTTTGGTTCTTTCTTTCCTGCCCCCCCCCCACCAATCCTACTGTTTCTCTGGGGGTGCCGAAATAAGTGTGCATTTTTTACCCCAGAGTTAGTAGATGAAAATTTCATTTTCTGCTCAGGGTCATTTAGAGTGGCCCTGCTTCTGTGTCTTTAAGAATGGATATATTTAATAGGCTTGGGTAACCACGGAAAAATTTGGTTCTAAACTCATTTTGTTTTTAGGGGGCCCTTGCGTTTCGTTTTTTTTAATAATTCCAAAATTTTCCTTTTAAAAATTTCAAAATTTACAAAATTTCGTAAAATTACGAATCGATTTGTTAATGGCGGACGAGATTGCGCAATATGCTAAAAAAAAACCTCCAAATGGGACAGGGGGAACTTCTGAAGCTTCCCTCTCCCTCTGTTGTTGACTGTTGGTGTGATAAAACAAACAACAACTATAAAACTTGCACCAGACATGCGAAAATAATTACGAAATAATTACGAAATAATTTCGAAATAATTACAAAATAATTATGAAATAAATTGAAAAAAATGTTTCAAATCTTAATTACTACTCACACTATTCCTGCATGGCTCAATATTGGATCGTAAGCTAATTTAAATACGAATTAATAATGAATTATGAAATTAACAAACGAAACCGCCCAAGCCTAATATTTAAGAATGGGTTGTAGTAGATTTTTCGGGCTATATGGCCATGTTCTAGAAGTATTCTCTTCTGACGTTTCACCTGCATTTATGCCAGGTATCCTCAAAGGTTGTGAGGTTTGTTGGAAACTAGGAAACTTGGGTTTATATATTTGTGGGAAGTCCAGGGTGGGAGAATGAATTATTGTCTGTTGGAGCTAGGTGTGAATGTTTCATTTGGCCACCTTGATTGGCATTTGATGGCCTGGCAGTTTATTGGTGTGGCTTGTTGCTGCCTGGGGGAATCCTTTGTTGAGAGGTGATTAGCTGTCCCTGCTTGTTTCTTGTCTGGAGTTCCTCTGTGTTTGAGTGTTGTTTTTTATTTACCGTTACAATTTTAGAGTTTTTTAAGTACTGGTAGCCAGATTTTCTTCATTTTCATGGTTTCTTCCTTTGTGTTGAAATTGTCCACATGCTTGTGGGTTTCAATTGCTTCTCTGTGTAGCCTGACATGGTGGTTGTGAGAGTGGTCCAGCATTTCTGTGTTCTCAAATAATCTGCTGTGTCCAGGTTGGTTCCTCAGGTGCTCTGCTATGGCTGACTTCTCTGGTTGAAGGAGTCTGCAGTGCCTTTCGTGTTCCTTGATTTGTGTTTGGGCGCTTTGGACAATTTCAACAGAAAGGAAGAAACCATGAAAATGAACAAAATCTGGCTACCATTACTAAAAAAAAACCCTCTGGATTTATAACAGTAAATAAAAAAACTCAAACACGGGAACTCCACACAAGAACATACATAAAATACATAACAGAGATGTCCCTGGACAATTTCAGGAGAAGGTTTTGGGGAAAGTGCAGGCTTCAGATTTGATCTCAACCCTTTAAATTTAAGGCCCCATCTACATTGCCAGATAATGCAGTTTCAAACTGCATTATATGAGTCTACACTGACCATATAATGGAGTTTCCAACTGTACTATATGACAGTGTACATAAAGCCTAAGACGCCCTAATAAAACCATGTACTGTATTTAGAAACTGCAAGTGTCAATCACAAACGAAGCTGCTCCTCTTTTCTTTGAAG